TCCACGTTGGGAGCCTTGGCTTACTTAGTTTGAGAAGGAGGCCGCAACAGGATAATTAATCAGTTTCAATAACAGTCACGGCTAACTGAATCATCCACATTACCGTGATTACATCTTGCCTCTAAAAGAAATTGGATATCCCGTTGTTACTACACCAGCCTACACACAAAGAGTCACATTAAAGACTTTCTTTTGTATCCAAGGGTCTCAGGTGAAACGACAGAGTAGCAATGTGAGGCCGACATAAAGGAAACAATACACTTATTAAAATGAATTAGGCAATGTGTCAAATTAAAGGTGCACTACAGAGTTTTGGTAGAGAGATGTGAAGGTTGGAGAAGTGTACAGATTATGTGGTATATGTTCATAACTCTATACATAAACTGTCCTCAGAGGAAAATTTGCTGTGTCCAAATAGAGATGTCATTCATCCTACGACCTATACCCCCAGACTCCCTTTAAATCAAGCAGTGCAATTACTTCCTTTGTCTGTGTGCTATTTATGTACACAATAAACGGCTGTGATATAGTGTCATGTGTTCAATTAGACATCAGCCTCCTTTGTACAGCCAAAGGACTTTAAGTAGCTGTAAATTAGGAGAGTAATTGCCACTGGAGAAAATGTTGCACAGACAGACTTGTTTGGGTAGAAATCATGATGACTGTCTGACTCAATGGTTGTGTGATGTTTTTTCTAGACCTAAATCATAATTAAAAAGTAAGTTTGTAAAAAAAATAAACACTCCTTAGTTGCTTCTTACTGTGATATACTTTATTGAACCCGACCCTTTGTAATTGAAATTATTTTTATCAGACATATTTGTGGATGCTGTATCTCAGAGTCTGTAGCTTAGCAACAGCTTTATGCTTCAAAAGTTCCTATAAGGCCATTTTCCATGCTGTTTTTGCTGTTCCCACATGTAAATAACACAATGCGCCTGAATACATGTATCAGTTGATAACCTGTGCCTTTGTATCAGGGTGCTCTTCAAAAGCTCCCTGCGCTGAGCAACAGTTTGAGTCTTTTTTGATCTACGGAGAAGGGTGAAGGTGGTGATTAGCACAACAATAACGAGCTATCATTTAGCTTTTTTTTCTTGTCTGTTCTCATACCCTTCCCTCCCACCATTTCTCTTTTGCTCAACCTTTTCACAATCTCTGTTTTATTTAATGCTGTACATCTTTTACCCTGTAATAGGGTGTATGGTACAAATGATATCTTGACATCCTAATTGCTTGTTGCTGCTTTGATTTCAAGGCGCCATGTTGTGGCTGCTTTTATTGTTAATGAGGTAGCCGTCATTTCACTGGAGGAAGATATAGATGCCGTATGTGTCAACTTGATATCACATGAATATACTGAGACAGATGGAATCATACAGCATTCATTATGGAAGCTTTCATAAGGCAATGTTTATTATAATTAAGTATTTGTGGCTTATACTTTAATGTATTTAAAAAACCCGAGGTGGACTATCTCTTGGAAAGCTTTGGTTTCGTCCATTGGCATTGTGTTTTTTTTTGTGATGGGGAGGGGGAGAATTGTCTATATTTAGATGACATGGTTGGTATGCATTGTTTTCTATCTATACTGGTTGCTAGGTCGTCTTGGAGGTGACTTGTTAATCCCAAGCAGCCACAACCTGAAGCACACTTTGGTTTATTATCAATGTTACTCTTGATGGAGACATTTTTTCTGCAAATAATTACGAACAATGAACTCAGTAGAAAAATGTTTACAGAGGTAATAAATCAACTAGGAAGCAGGACATTTTCCAATTTGGTTCCTTATACAATCTTTTTCATTTTAGCAGTACCCCCTTCCAATTGGCAATTCCACATTGGCATCACTATAGAAACAACAGGTGCCTGTATGGTCTTAATAATAGACTATATATATAGACTGTAAGTGTAAATGATAGTTACACTCGTCAATAGTTAGTTGTTTATATTGACATGTAGTTGTTTGACAGAGGCTTATGTCAAAGCTTTGTACAAATGAATGACAGTCAAAGCCCCCCGAATGAGAAGAAGACATCTAAACTAAGTGCCACAACACTCATTTTCAGGTTCCGCTCAAAATGCCACGGGGTTGCAGGTGCAAGCAGCAATGAATAAATGTCTTAGAAAATTAGGAAGAGACAGGTTGTGAGGTGAGTAGTTACTGAGGGAATTCAGCGAGGTTGGTGGCATGCTAGATAGAGGCCACTGTCGGCTATCATGAGTGATAACATTCAGAAAGATATATGGGAGCCAGTGAAGAGTAATGTGAAAAGTTAAGAGCATGCTTTTTTTTCATTGAAGACCAGATTTGCTGCTACTCTTTTTTTCAATTCATCGAGCATTTCTATGCATGCTTGTAAAATTATTATTATCATATTTCAACAGAGTTGGAGACCCAGTTGATGAACTACAACTTTCCTTTATCTTTGGCTCTCCATTCACCCATCTGTAAGCACTGCTCAGACAGCTTACTTTCCGTGAATGTGATAATCCATGTCTTTAACCCATTTGAAGGAAAAATTGCAGTAATTTTCTTTGCTCATAAAACCTATAAAGAGATCAGAGAAAAATGGCGCTCCACCAGCGGTCAGATAAAAAGTCGGGGTTTAAATTCATTCTGAGACGTAGGGATCAATCTTTGGGAAGAGAAAGGTAGAGTGTGGAGTAGAGTGTCATTAGCACAGCAGCGGTGACAAGAAAACAAGAAAAGCGAATAACTGCAGCAATGAAAGGGGTCCAATAATTGATCCCCTGAGGTACCCCTTGTCTCCAGTAGTGAAACAATAGATAGGTCCTGTATCTTTGCTTGAGTTAGTTTATTACATGCATCTGCAGAGCAGATCATATCATTAACAGTTATAAAGACACTACAGAAGTTTTCAACAGCGTCAAACAGTCAACAATCATTTTTTAAAGGCACACACAGCAAGTGGAAAGATACTGTACTATACAACCGTACTAGCACATAAAAAAGTACAATTACAGCGGCACTGATACTACTGCAATTACAGCACAAAAAATATACTATATGACATCTACTGTACTCTCATTTCAGAGAGCAAAATACTGTACTGCGCTACTAGCTTCAATGTGACATTTCAGTCAGTAAACAAACAACATAAACACCTGTGTTCATGCAGATAGATCTATGAGACTCAGACTGAGTGAAAAAAAAATCAATACCTGAGTAAAGCAACACTGCAATGGAATAAAACAAAATCCAGTCAGTCAAATTTCAAGAAAGAAAGTACCTGTGGTGTTTAAAAAAAAATTAAAAAAAGGAAGCAATCTTTATCTGCACTATTTAAACTTCACTGAACACGTCTGTATTTTCTGACAACTTTATAATTTGGTTAGGCACTTGTGGTAAAGCTGTGAGTACTGCAAGTACAATCGAACAAACAAGACCTTTTTTATCTGTGATTTTGTGAATTTTGTGAATCAATTTTAGCATAAAAGCCAACAGCTACACCCATATTGAGAATAACTCTTATTGTTCATGAAATCAAAACGGATGAGTTTTCAAAAAATCCACCCCCGTACATGTACTGTACGTGTGTGCCTAATCAGACCTATTTTTTGTTTTTTGAACCAGGCTGTATAAATGTTAATTTCTGCTGTAAAAACTGTATTTTTTAAATGGGTGTGTACAGTATGTGACAGTATATGTCTGAAGCCTACCTCAAGCAGATACTTGACAAACTGCAGGGTTTCGCACTTGGGCAGGGCTTTATTTTTCAACACCAGAGGTTGCTGCTTGGTTTAAACACAATATTAGCTTTAGCTTTGTCAGCTTAGCTTTTAGTTAGCTATGCTAATCTAAACCCTGGCAGTAACAGAATGTAAAAAAAATGATTTTCTTAAAACTATTAGCTACATGACAACCGGCTTTTATGGTAGAACCATTTTTGATAAGTGAGGCGTAAATATCCACTTACATGGCATTCGATTGAACCTAAAACAGGTTCATTTTAAACTTCCTAACAGATGGTGTGTAACCAACCTTTGGCTCTGTAATTGTCTGAATCAAAAACAACAAATACATGATCAAAGTTTCTTCGACAGCTTAATAAGTGCAAAAAAATAAATTGTACATATTAAATAATATGCAGTAAATGACATGCTAGTGGGATACACAGTCATATTTTCACATCAAAGCCAGATATTTTTTTTAAATCCAAATCTTAAAAGTATTTTTTCATTAGCTTCTTGCATATTTTTTTTGTCTGCAGAAATTGCACATATGACTAACAGTAATGGGAGCACGCATTGCAGAAGATAGGCAGTACTGCTAGCAAGTAACATGAAGTTCTCATGGGACATTTTTTCTACAATTAAAATCCTTCAGAACATCATGAATGATATTAAAACAGTATGTGTCAACAAGCTTTCTCTGACAATAGTTTTATAGAATTCTCCCCATAACATCAATATGATGGCAATAAGACATTTTCTCTTGAGTTGAACTTTAGTGATCCAGCATGCTAATCATTTTACACTCACATTCTTCTCCATGACACTCAAATCTGTGGCATAACTCAGATTAGATCCTTTGCTAACACGGATCCAGCTACAGTTTATGGCACCAGCGAGGTAATAGCTTGCACAGAATGCCTCTGAAGAGCCTGTGATATGTTTGGAGGATCAGAACACATACAGAACAAAACACACATTTTTCACCACTGCAGCGGCAAAATCTGACAAAAAAAAACAAAACTGCTGAACAGAGAATAGTACAGCCTCGGTTAGCATAGTATCATATTGAATGGAGTTCTTTCACTGTTCTGTATTTTTAGTCTTGCACTAGCAGGCCTCAGACACTGTTTGGGTTATAACAGAGCATGTTCAGCTGCAGGTTTTCATCCCAGTGTCTGAGGATGATGAAGAGTTGGTTGGCGGCAGACTTAATGGAGGCCAAGTCTTTGCCTTCTGGGATTTCTTGTGCATTCAACCACATGCTAGCCTTGGCAGCCACCATTTCCCACTCGATGAAATAACTAGCAGAGCTGTGCTCCAACCAGGCAAGCGCCACCGCAGTTGCCCAAACCATGCTCTCTGGATCCTGTACGCTCTTTGGGCTGCTGCTGAGTGATGCTGCTCCAATCCCCCGGACCCTGAGCCGCGTCCACTGTCCCCTGGGAGAGCGGAGACAGCTGGGGCTCCGCGGTGGTGGATGGACTGCCTAATAAGGAAGAGGCAGCATTCATCCAGCTGCTCCTGGACAGGTGAGATGGGCTCTGGACGCCCACAGTGTGCTCTGCGGACGGCTGGTTTGTTTCTGGCTCACACGGCGATCTGTGTCCGCCATCGGCGCTCTCAGTGCGGCGGCTGCTGGAGTGAGACAGGTGGCCCAGGCTGGTGCGGTGGCTGTTGAAAGGTGACGTCCACTTCAGCTTGTCCATAGGGACATTGATGGCGTCACACAGAGCTGTGTCCAAGGGGAACGCACCACTAGCCAACTGCAACAACACCTGTGCAGAGGGAAACCGTTCACAGACTGACAGGAAGTATAGCTTTGGTTATTTTATGTTTTTTGTTTTTTTTTAATGTTGGCCTGTGCCTTTACTTGATAGGATAACAAACAGGAAACATTGTGTGGAGAGATTGGGGATGACATGTACCAAATGTCAGAGTCAAACCAGGGGCTGATGCAGCAAGCACTGTACACAGCACTAGTGCTCTAGCCAATTTTTAGACTTGATGAAAAATGGTTTTAAAAAATCTCATTAAAACCAAAAGTACAAACATATATCCAAATAAAGCATAATTACAGCACCAACAAGGGGTCAGATGTCTTTGGTTGCACTGTTGGGAACAGGAATCCTTCCTCTTGTCCTTAATGTTGGCAGATTCAAAACATAAGGAAGAAAATCTGGATGTAGGAATCATGCAAATTAGAAGCGGTTAAGAAACGGATACATTTTTTTTCCTTATCATGATGAATTAGGAACACCTATGATAATGTTCAAATGTTCACACAATGACGATGCAAAAAATGCTGCTTTATTTTTAGGCTTCTAAGTTGGCTTCTCTGTCAGCTGTAATTCTTCAATACTGCACCATTATTTGGTTCATTTCCATAAAAAAAGGGTTTTGACCTTCTCCAATCAGCAGCTGGACTCCAATCAACAAAACAGAGGTGAATTGTGTCACTACGGATACCTCTGTAGTTGTTGGTAAAGAAGGTGGAAATCATTTTTTTTGGCGAATCTTCAACATTTTTCACATCTGTTTTTTCTCTTTTGAATTTTAAAAGTGATGAATAATGTATGAACGACGTGATATGCACATCATAATCAGAGTGTCCTTTGAGGTCTTGGTAGTTTCAGGGAGAGCCAGAGTGTGGCCTTGGTAATCATACAGAAGCCTCTACACTGCTATAGCCCTCCAAAAGCAAAGATTTGAATTTTTACAGGCTTTTTGAATCCCTGCCAATATTCATTGCAAGGATGAATACACAGTGTATACAGTAATAATTAGCTCTTTCAATGCTGACAATAATAAAGAGATATACTGTGAATCAAAAGTATGTTTTAGTAAAAATGCATGCAAAAGCCTGACCAAGATGGCGGCGCAAGCGCATCGCGAGGCCCAGCGTCTCTCTCAGATTTGCAATTTTGCAGTAATTTTATTGTTAATTTCGGGTCTGTTCGCACGGAACAGCCTCGCCTTAACATCCTACACCCGACAGGAACTTTTGGATATTGGAATACACCTCCCTGACGATCTAATCAACAATCTTCGACTCATCCCTGAGATCGCCAAAACAAAGGCAGGGGAAGCGCGGAGGTATAAGAGCTAAGCTAAAGCTAACACCGCACTGTCTCCCGTTACCCAGCATTTTCCTCGCTAATGTGCGGTCTTTGGTGAACAAAATGGACGAGTTACGACTTCGCATCATCCACAGCAAGAGAATTATGGACTGTAATGTCATGATCTTCACGGAAACATGGCTAAACAACGGAGTACCGGACGATGCTATCAAGCTAGCCGGTCGCCACACACACCGAGCAGACAGAACAGCAGAGGACTCCGGTAAGACCAGAGGAGGAGGGCTGTGCATTTATATTAACAAAGCTTGGTGTACAGACTCTGTCATTATTGGGAGACACTGCTCAGCTAACATTGAGTTTCTCATGGTTAAATGTAGACCTTTCTATCAGCCAAGGGAGCTCAGCTCCACTATTGTAACTGCAGCCTACATCCCCCCTGATGCCGATGCAAAAGCTGCTATGAAGGAACTTTACACCGCTATCAGTAAACAACAGACTGCTCACCCGGAGGCTGCATTTATAGCTGCAGGTGATTTTAATCACTCAAACTTAAAGACAGTGCTCCCTAAATTTCACCAGCATGTTTCCTGCAATACAAGAGGAAACAAAACTCTGGACCATGTTTACACAAACATCGCAGGAGCCTACACCACGACCCCCCTCCCCCACCTGGGACAGTCAGACCATCTTTCTTTGTTCCTCATCCCCAAGTACTCCCCACTCATCCAACGTGTGAAGCCATCAGTGACAACGATTAAAGTGTGGCCAGCGGGGACAGACTCTGTACTTCAGGACAAGTTCCATCACACAGACTGGAGTATGTTTGCTTCTCAGGCTACCTTGGGCTCTCACACAGACATTGACACCTACACTTCTTCTGTGCTGGATTATATCAACACCACCATCGACAGTGTTACAACATGGAAGCAGATCACCACGTACCCAAATCAGAAGCCACGGATGAACAAGGAGGTGCGTCTCCTGCTGAAGGCCCGCAACACCGCCTTCAGATCAGATGATGCAATGGCCTACAGCGTATCCAGGGCAAACCTGAGGAGGGGCATCATCAAGGCCAAGCACTGCTACAAGCTGAAGGTTGAGGAACACTTCTCCAACTCCGACCCCAGACGCATGTGGCAGGGCATCCAGGCCATCAGTGATTATAAACCCAGAAACTCCACCCCGATAACCACAGATGTCTCCTTCCTGAACGAGCTAAATCACTTTTATGCTCGTTTTGATAGAGACAACAGAGAGACGCAGACCACGACCAGACCTCCTGCAGACAACCAGCCCCTCTCACTCACCTCCACAGACGTCCACGCTGCACTGAGCCGGATCAACGCTCGAAAGGCTGCTGGTCCAGACGGCACCCCCGGGCGCGTGCTTAGAGCATGTGCGGAGCAGCTCACTGGGGTTTTTACGGACATCTTCAACCTGTCCCTCGCCCAAGCAGCTGTGCCAGCATGCTTCAAAGCCACCTCCATTGTCCCAGTGCCGAAACACTCCAGCCCGACAGGCCTGAACGACTACCGCCCTGTAGCACTCACACCCATCATAATGAAGTGCTTTGAGCGACTGGTCCTAGCACACCTGAAAAACTGCCTCCCACCCACACTGGACCCATACCAGTTTGCCTACCGCAGCAATAGGAGTACAGAGGATGCAGTCTCCACTGCGCTGCACTCTGTGCTCACACATCTGGACAATAACAACACATACGCACGAATGCTGTTTGTTGATTTTAGCTCAGCATTCAACTCTGTCATCCCCTCCAAGTTAAACACTAAACTCGGAGACCTGGGCTTCAACACCTCCCTCCGTCACTGGATAATGGACTTTCTGACCAACAGACCCCAGTATGTTAGGTCAGGACACACCTGCTCCACCACCATCACACTCAACACAGGCGTACCACAGGGCTGTGTGCTGAGCCCATTCCTCTACTCCCTCTTCACCCACGACTGCAGACCTGTACATGGATCCAACACCATCATCAAGTTTGCGGACGATACGGCGGTGATTGGCCTCATCAGCAACAACGATGACACGGCCTACAGGGAGGAGGTACAGCATCTGGCCGCCTGGTGTGCTGACAACAACCTGCTCCTCAACACCAGCAAGACGAAGGAGATCATCGTGGACTTCAGGAGAGAAAGAGGAAGCACGCACAACCCCATTCACATCAACGGGATGGCTGTTGAACGTGTCTCCAGCTTCAAGTTCCTGGGGACCCACATCACAGAGGACCTCTCCTGGTCCACTAACACCTCCAGTCTGGTTAAGAAGGCTCATCAACGCCTCTTTTTCCTGAGGACACTGAAGAGACACCACCTGTCTTCAGCTGTATTGATGAACTTCTACCGCTGTGTGATCGAGAGCATCCTGACCAGCAGTGTCTCAGTCTGGTACGGAAACTGCTCTGTCACAGACCGTAAGGCGCTACAGCGGGTGGTAAAAACCGCCCAGCGCATCACAAGGTGTCCACTTCCTGCCATTGAGGATGTCCAAAGAAAACGCTGTCTGCGGCGAGCTCATGGCATCCTTAAAGACTCCTCCCACCCTGCCCACAGACTGTTTACCCTCCTGCCCTCCGGCAGGCGCTTCAGAAGCCTCCGGACCAGAACCAGCAGACTGAGGAACAGCTTTTTCCCCAGAGCTGTTTCTCTACTGAACTCTACCCCCCGAACTCTGTCTCTCTCTCTCTCTCCCTCTCTCTCTCTGGCCCCTGCTGACCCCCCCCCTTTTCCCCTGCATATCACCTCACACCCATCATCCCCCCACCACTCCTCCTGGTCACACACACACATCTCTCATCCATCTGTATTATTGTATTATAGTATGTTCATATTATGTCCATATTCTTTATATTATCTGTAAACTAGTATAGCATGCTCACTGCATCTTAATCTGTATATTATTAGTATAGCATGCTCACTGCACTTTAATCTGTATATTATAATCCTAAAAATACACTTATTTTGTAGCATTACTTATTTATAGCATTTATTTATATTTATAGCATCCCATTAATCCAGCCATCCATATATACCTAATAATTCACTTTTTTTAGTCTACATCTGTAAATTTTGTAATTACTGTACATAGCACAGACTCTTGCACTTTCTGCTTATTTGCACTTCTGGTGAGGTGCCAAACCTCATTTCGTTACTCTTGTATATGTGTAATGACAATAAAGTTGAATCTCATCTCAAAAAAAAACAACCCTTTACATAGACATATGCAAGCCAACTTTCACCTCTGTGTTTTAAGACCGACAGCCAGACAGACGAACAAAAGAAAAGATGATACGTCTGTCTATTTGTCATCACTCTTCATCCTGCCTCCACGTTACCTGGTCAAGCCTCTCCATCTCCTCTTCCTCCTCCTTACTGCACACCTGTTTCCCATCCACAATCAAGCCTGCAGTGGTTAAAAAAGCTGATCTCTCATCTACTCTTAGCCCAGATCGTCTGCTCACCATCACATGTTTTTGCCTGCCTGCCTTCCACAACCTCTCCTGCTCTACTACCAGCCATAAGGTTTCTGTGTTTGTTTTGTTGCACTTCGGTCCAGCCTTTAGTGAAATCGTAACAAAAGAAAAAAAGAAAAGATAAGACAAAGAAAGACAGAAAGTAAGCAAGACATAATGAACTGAAAAAAGGTTATAAAAAGAGAAAGAAAGAAAGAGAGAAAGAGAGAAAGAAAGAGAGAATGAGAGAATGAGAGAAAGAAAGAGAGAAAGAAAGAAAAAAGAAAGAGAGAAAGAAAGGAAGAGAGAGAGAAAGAAAGACAGGAAGGAAGAGAGAAAGAAAGAAAGAGAGAAAGAAAGAAAGGAAGGAAGAGAGAAAGAGAGAAAGAAAAAAGGAAGAAAGAAAGGAAGAGAGAAAGAAAGAAAGAGAGAAAGAAAGAAAGGAAGAGAGAGAGAAAGAAAGGAAGAGAGAGAGAAAGAAAGAAAGAAAGAAAGAGAAAAAAGAAAGGAAGAGAGAAAGAGAGAAAGAAAGAAAGGAAGAGAGAGAGAGAGAAAGAAAGAAAGAAAGGAAGAGAGAAAGAAAGAAAGGAAGAGAGAAAGAAAGAGAGAGAGAAAGAAAGAGAGAAAGAAAAAGAAAAAAGAAAGGAAGAGAGAAAGAGAGAAAGAAAGAAAAAAGAAAGAAAGGAAGAGAGAAAGAGAGAAAGAAAAAAGAAAAAAGAAAGGAAGAGAGAAAGAAAGAAAGGAAGAGAAAAAGAAAGGAGAGAAAGAAAGAAAGGAAGAGAGAAAGAAAGAAAGAAAGAAAGAAAGAGAGAAAGAAAAAAGAAAAAAGAAAGGAAGAGAGAAAGAAAGAAATAGAGAAAGAAAGAGAGACAGAGAGAAAGAAAGAGAGAAAGAGAGAATAGGATGTAGACTGCGTTCATGCTGTATTCTTCTTCACTGTTCTTCACAGCTTTGAACAGCTGATTGCTTAACCAACAGTCTCAACAGGCTGTAACAACGCTCTCGTTCTTCAGACAAATCTTCACCCAGCTGAAAAAAGTCTCCAGTAAAAAGCACCTGCAGTAAATGTCTGCTACCCACCAGAGGAATGTAGTCTTTGTTCTCGTTGTCACTCTCTCCGATTGAATCGCCGGACTTGCTGTGAGATCGACACATGAATCCTTTGGCAGCCCGGGTCAGGAGACGAGTCTGCTGAGGGCCAACCTTACAGAGCGGAGGAAAAGCCGATGGATTACAGAGTATCGTGTGTGAAGCAAACACAGCTACTGCGTTTGCTGCTTCTCTACAGGGATCGTGAAAGCAATCTCTACTAAATCACAACACATCTCACAATTCATTTAAGAAATATCTAAGCAACAAATACTGAGTACATTGTCACTACATACTGTATGGTTGAGACATACATGTACCCAGAGGCAGTGGTGATTCTGGTGGGGCCCTATAGGCATCAATTGGGAGGGGCCCTCCAACCAGCGTTCATCATCATGTTGTCTGCCAGTGTCCTGATTTTTTTCTCTCCTATAGACAGATTATTCCTCTTCATTTTTCTTTGTTTACTTTTATTCACACACTTTGGTTATCGCAGCAACGCTTAGCGGGGCAACGAGAGTGAGTGCTGTCAGGTGGGGCCCTCAGGGAGGTTTCCTACTGTCGTTGCAAATTTGCACCTTTTGAGCCACTGCTTTTGGTTTAAGTTTGTGAGCCCTCAGGTGCCCCTTTACTCGTCTGGGCCCCAAGCAGTTGCCTG